AGGCTCAAATTCTCTAACTATCGTAAAGTACTGTAGCTCTCCCTTAGGCTCGAGGAGGAGCTCTTTCTAGTGTAGCATTTAGATATTTAGTTTTCGAGCCCCAAATCCTCAACTACTAAGACCAAGTGCTTGCGCACAGGCGCTGCTGCAGCTCTTCTCTGGGCTCAAGGACGAGATCTTTCCGGTTGCAGCCTTTAGATCTGTAGTTTTCGAGGCTCAAATCCTCAACTATTAATACCAAGTACTTCAGCGCGGGCGCTAACTGCTGTACTTGGTCTGACCTTCGCATCCAGCCCCATCTCCGCCATCCTCGACTTGACAGTCCTCGACAACTCTGCCGCCTCCATCGAACTCTTGACGTAGTTGCAGCGGATGAGCCGGAATCCGATCGGCGTTGTTAATGTCTCGCCCACCACGACCAACCCGGCCAATACCTACGCACGCGCGCGCCCGCGTACACAAATTCACGCGGCACAAACGATGTACGTGCGGTTGGAGGCACGCGTCGCACAACATGATACCAACATGTGAAACATGTTATCACCATTGAGGAATGAAGGCGCAAAGGTGAAAAACCCGAACTACTTACTGGACGTAGTTTGAAATATTATTAGCGGCGACAACGTCAAATCATTTACCGATCGAGAGCAAACGCGTGCGTGTGCGTACCTTGGCGATTGCTCTCTCTCTTGTAGGCTACATATGCCGGGGATCATCTTGCCATCATTATCGTTTTTCTCTCTCTAAACCACTACGTATTCCATGGTAAAATACCATGGTACATCCGGGGTCTTCTTGCCATCGCTCGGTAGCTACCGTTGGTGACACATGATAGCACACCCGCTGGACCCATTTTGAAAGCTCGATTTCTCCACGGCAGGAATAGTAGCGGTGCCGAAAATGGTGGCCTTTGAGCCGCCTCGTCGACAACTTGCCGAAAACGAGCTATCGTTTCGTTAGTGCATCCTCGTCGTCGTGGGGTAATCGAGCTATGAAATTCGGTCCAGAGGGGGTGTGGACCCTTACGTCAACTACGGAAACTCCTAGGTGGGACTACGCCCAGAATCGGTTCGGCTTTTAACTCATGATTTTCGAAGGTATCTCCTCCTCGTGGCATGGATGTAACTTTATTCCATTTGTGTGCCAAACTCTTGCGAGAAACACGCGGGTTTATTAAGATGCGTCGACTGCGGCAACCGGCACTCCCACGAAAAGATGTCAGTCTCAGTGCGGCTGAAAACAGAAAGCTCTTGGGCCATGATCTGGGACCCCGTGAGGGGGAGGTTAAGCTACTCTCCGAATGAAAAACAGAAACGGTAGCACCCGAAGTGAGGTGGGTGCCTAAAAGAGTGGCATCGACCGCGCTAACCGGCTGGCCAAGAAAAATATAGAAATCTTGCAGCGGGATAACAAAACACGAACGCTTTCAAGTCAAAGGGTATGGGTTCTCGATAAGGAGTTGGGTGACAGTGCCCTGCTTCTGAAGTGCAATCGTGTGTGTGTAAATTTTGTATTGACCGCGCTAACCGGTTGACCAATCAAAATACGTTAGATGACAACAATGCTTCTTAAGGTCATGCACGTGTGTGTGTGTTTGCGTCGCGCTTGCCGGTCGAAGCACAGCAGCCACATGTCGTCGTCGCGGGATTTGCCACCTGTTCGACGAAGAGCTCGACGTCCTCGTCAGGGACCTCGAGTCGCCGCTTCTGGAACCCCATGCCTCCCGAAAGAAGCTCTTCCGCGGCGTTGGCCTGCATCTGCCTGATGACGTTGTCCGCCTGCCGAGAAGAGAAAGATTGACCGAGAAAAAATAACGTTTAAAAAATATTTTCCTTTTCGAACCACAACACGCCCATCTCGATGTTGAACAAGCAAGTCGCGATTCGTGAGACAACAGAGGGAACAATCATGGGGAGAAGAGAAGAACAACACAGAACGCGAGATATCTCCGGAAGAGAGATTGACCGACAGAAAGAGCCAGAATGTTGAAACAAGCAAGTCGCGATTCGTGATAAATCAGAGGGCAGCAACCACGAAGAGAAAGAGAAGAACAAAGAAGGTGAGAGACTGCTGGGGAGATATTGACCGACTGAAAGAGCCAGAGTGTACTACCAAGTGCCGATTCGTGAGAGAACAGAGGGAAGCAATCATGGAGAGAAGAAAAACGTCGGCCTGGAGGGGAGAGATTGACCGCGACAAAAAGGGCCAGTGGGTTGTAACAAGCAAAGTCGCGATCCGTGAAAATCAGACGGAAGCAACCATGGACAGAAAAGAACAAAAAAAAAAAAATGAAAGACCGCCGGGGAAACACTGACCGGCGCAACAAAGCGGCAGGAGTTGCAACAAGCAAAGTCGCCATCCGTGAAAAATCAGACATGGACAAAAGAACAAAAAAGAAAAACGAAAGACCGCCCGGGAAAGATTGACCGGCGCAAAAAAGTGACAGGAGTTGCAACAAGCAAAGTCGTTATTGTTCATGAGAAAACAGAGGGTTTATGAGAAAACAAAGGAAGGCAACCATGGAGAGAAGAAGAACCTTGTTCTCTTCAGAATTCTGATTCTCGAAAAGTTTCCCCGCGCCACGCTACTCTCCGCTTGTCTCTCGCATTTCCATCGATCGACGACGTGGGCAGACCTTCTTCTTCCCGTAACTTCTTTCCACCTCTAGTAGCCTTCGCGAGGACATTAAGCTTGGTTCTAGTAAGGCGGGGGTTGGGGTGAGGTTAGAGATGACAGGGACACAAAAGTCCCGTCTCTATTCCATAGACAAAAGGTGTTGGAACCGTCTCGTGGAGAGCTTTCCGAGAACGTAGCATTGGATGTTCGGCATCCTCGTCCTCGGGGAGTATCAAAGCTTTGGAAATCGGTTCAAGGGATGTGGTATCTTGCGTCACCTCCGGTACCAGGCAAGGACGCCTGACGGCGGCATGGGAGGCCTTGTCCAACGTAAAATTAACATGTAACGGAATGAAGAATAAAATACCAACAGGAGAAAAAAAGAGGAAATACGGGTTCTCGGTGGGGAAATAAAATGGACTGAGACAAAGGGACGTGCTAATCCATATTGCACGAAAAAAATGCAGTAATGGCAACAGTGATACAGCAGCGCCGGCCCGCTCATGCTGTAGGCAAGGAGGTCGTACGGAATCAGACTGGGATGATGGTATCACACGGAATCAGGCTGAGGTTGTGATACCATATGGAATCAGGCTGAGCTTGTGATGTCTTGAACAAGCAAGACAACTGCCTAGCCTCGGGTGCCTAGAGCGATGAGCAGTAACGCTCAACCTTCGCCGGACTAGATGAAGAAGCTACGGCTGATTTTGGGGTAGCTCATGAGTAGGGTTGTGCCTCGGCTGGCGCAGAAGCAGGTACCCGCTACCGGGCACCCGGTTCCGGGAATACACGGCCGGGTCTGGTTCCACCTGTCTTGTACCCGGGTATTGGTTGAGATACACGTCACCCCAAAGCAGGGGGGTGCATGGTGATTCATACATGGCGCCCCCTGTCGGTGGCACGGCGCCCCAAAAATCATGGGGTACCCCGTAATATGCACACACGGCGCCCCCTTCCGGGTACCCGGGTACCTAACCGGTTCCAACCCGCTAGGCCCCATAAGGTACCCTGTTCCAGTTTTTGGAGCCGGGGCACAACCTTACAACCTTACTCGTGAGCAAGCCGGTACTGCTCACCCCATGGGAAGAAAAAAAAATGGCGTCAAAATAGCGCTTCGGACTGGGGCTGCTGGGCTCTAATGCATTTCCGGGTTGGGTCCTTCCCTACCGTTGCAGCCTAATTTCCATCGTTGTACGAAAAAATCTGGGACCGCTGTTGTGAACAGCGGCACAACCATACCACCACCAACAACAACAACAACGACAACAACAGCAATCTGATTTACCCATCTCAGTATCCTTCGCAGGGATTCTAGCAAGGCGGCCCAGGACAAAGAATATTGATGCTAATTAATTTTGAAACCAAACGCAGGAGCACCAGAAATTGCACAAAAGACACACAAGACCAGTCGGAAGGCATCGCGAAAAACAGATATCGTTGATCCTCGCACAGGGTGGCAGTAGAGTCTGCTTAAATTTTTTTTCACCTATCTACCTCAACCCGCCTCCTTTCAAATCAAATCAAGATATCAATCTACACTCTTATACATTTAAGTAAAGAAGCCAGAACGGCAGGCGCTTCAAATAAGGTCGGTTTTGCTAGGAACCTGGTCCGTTGTATTCGTATCACTGAAGGACATCCTATAGCAGCGGGGGGTGCGTGTTGGCGCGCTCAAATCTGCTTCTGTGATGGTGATGTCGCGGGTCGTAGTAGTGGCCTACAATCTCCGCAAATCTCCGCAAACTAGATCAACACCCGGTGTCTCGTACTGCTTGTGGTCGCCGCCACAGACCCCAATCTCCCGAACTGTGGGTTTACAGCAGTAGCTCATGCCACTAGCTACTGCTGACAACCCTCCGTTCGGGGGTTCACGGTCCGTCGTGGGGAGCACGACTGTGGCAAATGTTGGATTCCGCTTGGTTCCGGCGCAGATTTCGGACTGCTTTCAGAGGCTGCTGCGACATTCGATATTTCAGCTCCAGCAGCAAACCTGAGCGTGCCAGCACGCAGGACGCCTCTCCATGCTGTCCTATACTGATGACAGTACAACGGACCAGGTTCCTCCGGCGGGAAGGTTATTTTCTTTCAAAATATTGGATTAACGTAAGACAAAAGAGTCAGTCCCAATAATCCATTGTCTGGGCCCTCTTAAGCAAACATGCTGGATAAAGCATGCAATGGGGAAGTTGGGATAGGGTTAAGGTTAGGGTTTAGGGTCTTCGTACGTACCTCCTCCCTGCTCTACTTCCTCAACATGAATTTCTCGCGAAGAAGGCGGTCTGCTCTGTGCTATTTTGTGAAAACGGCAGTGGCGCAACCACACCAACAACAACAACGCAACCTGAATCCACCTACCTCGCCCTTCCCCCGCCCTCCATTGGCCAACTCCACCGTGTCTGCTCTGAGAACGTCGGCCACAGCACTAAACGCGGTCCCAGCTCGGACACCCTTCGCGGTGGTGAGCGCACCGAAGGGGGTCTTTTCTGCCATTTCCATCATCTTAGGTGTGAACGTGATCCACCTGGAAAAAAAGAAAAAAAAAATGGAAACTTCAAAACTGCGGCGGAATGCACCATATGTAGAACACGCGGCAGCAGCACAAGTCTATCAAGCACTAGTTTTTGCAAAATCTTGAACAACTACTTGTAACAAAGCATTTGAAAAAAAAAATAGTTACTCGTCCAGATGCATGGTTCACATCGAAAAGCGTTTACTCTTTTCGTCACGTCAAGTCTTGGCCCCAGTTTGTATATATCGCTACATGAGTGACGCTCCAGCTGGGGTCACACAGGAAATGGATCTCTACTTGCCTCCAGCGGTGCTTGCTTTCAATTTCTAACCCGAGAATTGCTGTTGTCTCGTGACTTTAAAAAACTGCTCGGGTATCCGCTCAGCGTCTTCGAAAAAAAAATCCCCAACAAAACTAAAATCGTCGTTCTATACGTTTTCTAGAAATTCAAGCAATGTTAAAGGTATGCACGTGTCGGGATCCCAATGCCCGGGTGTCGTACTGTAGCGTCATTAAAGACCATAGCTGCCGAAACACAAGACCCGAATTCCAACCGCCACTACACACCGTACGTGACACAAGATACCACACCCCCTAGCCGCATTTTGGAAGCTCGAAATCTCCACGACGAAGAGAAGGCCAAAACCAAATGACGGGTACATTCTTGGAAAGGTCTCGACAAGACAGCGCCGCTATTTTCGGCACCACCATTTTTTGTGTTGCTGCTGTGGAGTAGCCGGCCTTGGAAAATCGGTCCAGGGGGGGCGCGGTATCCTTGTGTCTAGTTGACTCAAGCAAAAGAGGCGCGGCAATTGTTTAGTTAAGCCCCAGTCTCCCTTCCTTCGGTACCGAAAAATAACAAAAATTCGTCCTCCATTCTATTGACAAACGGCACAAATATGCGTTGGCACAGCACACGAACGCAGGAAGGGGTGATGACCAACAAGCCTCTGCTTCATCCTTGTAAAACGTAGCCTGGGCCGACCGGCGACAACCCGGCATACATATCGTTCCGCCCCGGGTATTGCAGGGATGCGAGGTCTATGGTCTAACGGCTACGGCATGTACATGAGTACTGTACCCCCCGCACAAAAGGAGAGGGAACTGTGTATGACTGAGCTGGGAGAAGTAAAAAGCAAGTTACAGGGAGATGTTTGAGGCATGGACTAGCCAGGAGACGACGGTAGTTGTACTGGCGCATAGGAAGTGGGTTGAAAAGGCGGGGAAGTGATATCGACAGGAAAGATAAGCTAAAACATAGAGCCACCTCTGGGAAAGTAGCAAGGAACGGTAGGCTATCGGTGATCGGCCCGATGGGAACAATGCTCCGTCCTCTCGAGGACGCGCGGTCAATGGTCTAGCCGCTTCGGCATGCAAAAACATAAGAGCAAGCCACCCCCGCTCCCCGCAAAACAAGAAACAACCCCACAAACAGCTACGAAGAATCACTTACTCCCTGAATCCGGTAAGGACCCGGCTGGAGAAACCCGTCGACTCCGGCTTTGAAAGCAGCACCTTGTCGACCTGATCAAGCCTCGCGCGGCAGTGCGAGCACACATTTCCGAGGAAGCAGCAAGGTACGTTACGGGCAGAAGCTTTCGCAGCGTTGTTCTATGAAGTAAAACATGGTGGATAAAACATGCATTGTGATAGGGTGTGCGTACCCCTCTCCCTGTTTCCATTTCCTCATCAACTTCATTTCTCGAGAAGGCGGTCCGGTACTGGGGGGCAAGACACATCACAACAAGAACAAGACGGTGTCCTCCTTGCGCCAGCAAGCGCCATGTTGGAGGAGGACACACAAAACGCCCTGGTACGTGCAAGGTCAGACCTAAAGTACGGCTTCGCCGCCAGCCAAGCACCACCCCCTCCGGCAACATAGTTCCAATTTCAACGTCTGGGAATATAGTTCACATTTTATTATTTTGGTTCCCACTTCAATACCGGGCGAAGCACGTCTTTCTGTCTGCTGTTATCGGTAGGGTGTGCGGTCATAGTCGCCGTCGTCGTTAGACCATTGACCTCGCATCCCTACAAACCCGGGACCGAGCACGCCATTTTTATCGGTGGGGGTGCTATTTACTTTCTTTACGCCGCACGCACGTCATTAACTCAGTATTCTTGTGTTTTGCGGCCACGGAGGAAAGAATACTGGACGTAGATGACATCTTGCGTGCAGTCACTCGCCGGCATGGACTCGAACCATACTGCCAAGGATGAGTTTATTGTGCGTGTGCAGCAAGCTGCAAGCGGCCCGTTCGAAATCCGCGAAACATCTTACATGCATGTTGACCTGGAAATCCGTATTCTGCTTCTTCTTGGAATCGGGGAATATGGATTCTGGCTAGGGCGTATATGGTAGGTGGCACAAGATTGCCATACACCCTGTATTGAATTCAAAAGCTCCACTTCTCCACAGCAGAAAAACTCGACTTTTGGATTATACATGTTCTCTCGTCGTAGAGTAACCGAGAGCTCTGAACACCGGTCCAGGGGGTGTAGTGTCTCGTGTAACGTACGGTACAGTAGGGTGCGTGCGCAGCAACTAGCAAGCGGCTCGTTCGAGCCCCGCGTATCACCTTCCCTTGCATGTGGACCTGAAATGCGTACCAATTCCTGAAGTAGGGCGTACAGGATTTGGACTATAGGGCGTATACCGTACGTTCCATAAGATACCACACCCCCTGGACCGGTTTTCAAAGCCCGGTTACCCTGCAGCACAAACACCGACGGGTGCCAAAGCGTTGCAGCCGTCTCGTCCAAAGCTATCGGGAAACGTGATACAGTTTGTTTTTGGCATCCTTCCTGTCGCCGCGGAGCAATCGAGCTTTGGAAATCGGTCCAGGGCGTGTGATACCTTGTGTCACCTACGCTAGGGTTAGCCTCAAGGCTCGCGAACTGCCTGCGAAAAGAAAGTCCGACGAAAGACCAGTCTGGGGGCACGCAGACCCCAATCCTAACTTGATTTCGCCCATCTAATACTTCATCCAGTATGTTTTGCATACTTAAAAAAAAAAGATAAACCCGCGTAGACTACTGACTGCCTGCGAAGAAAGTAAGACATTTACGAAAACATACTCTGTACTTCATCCAAAAAGAATGTTTTTCTTACTTAGGAACCCCTTCGTAGGCTACTGCTGAGGCTGGCTGGCGCACCTCTTTCGCTACCAGCGGGAATCGGTTCCCGAGATCCCGCAGCAAGCCGTCGTCGTAGACGCTGGGCGGCTCCTCCTCGTACCACTCCGACTTGTACGTCCCTGTCGCTGTCGCTGCTGTCGCCTTAGCTGTCTCCTCCGCCTGAGCAAAACTACCGAGTTTCAGGCTTGAGGAAAGACAAAAGATTTTTCCTCCTGAGAAAAAATACCCGAGTTTCACAGGTTTGAGGGAAAGTGCAACACAATAGTTGTTTCCTCCTGAGCAAAAATACCCGAGTTCACAGACTTGAGGGAAGCGAGTGCTGCACTCTTCTCCCCTGAAAAGCAGTGGTGGGTAAGGGAAGAGGAACCCTCTTATGTGACCACGGATTGGAGCTCCTACCCCGAAATGCTGCCAGCCCTGACATATGAAAGGTGATGGAAAAATCAATACGAAAACAAACAGCAACAATCGTCTGTGCTTTTATGCAATCACTGATGAAGAAAAACGTGCCTCCAACCATGTTTCATAAGTGGGACAAAGACGTGCTACTACTACTACTACTACTAATACTACTACTACTACTACTACAACCACAACCACTAGTACTCCTGCTGCTACTACTTACAGTGGGGGCAGCTGGCAATGGCTGCCTTACATGGGGCAGCTGCGTTATTCAACTTGTAGAACTTGATTATTCCGTCAATACCACCCAATCCCACACGCCTTGCATAAGGGCGACTGCCTTATTCGGGGACCCCCACTGTACTACTGATGCAACCACTTACTGATGGAAAACAAAACGTACCGCCAACGACGATGTTTCGTTCTTCGAAAGCATCGCCGACCTCTTCTCGTCCACCGCCAGCAGCAGGTCCTCCTGGACGGCAACATCAGCGGTGCCGGCGATCATGAGTGGAAGGGGGGGGAGGGGGTCGAAACCAAAAGTGACATCGGGGACACTACAGAAGAGGATGAACTGCACACGGAAAGAAAGTAAGGATACTGCGAAAAAAGCCAGGCAGGGGGTACGTGTGCCCACAAGGCAAGAGGATAGGAAAAAAGTTACTGCGAAGACACACCACCAGCCTGAGTCTTCGCAAGGTTTGGGAGTCAGCGGTGTACCACAGGTGACATGATGTAAGACACCACACCCCCTGAAATCTCGATTACTCCACGACGAAGCAGATGTTGCATAGATGAAACGACGTTACGTTTTCGGGAAGCCCTCTCTCGGCGAGACGGCTCGAACGCCGCCATTTTTCGGGCTGCCAGTCTACCATGGAATGCCATGGAATTCCGTGTACTTCCATGGAACGTTCCGTAAAAGTCCATGGAATGTTTCACGGGAGTCCATGGATCTTTCTGCTGTGGAGAACTGGAGCTTTCAAAAGTCGGTCTATGAGGAGTGATATCTTGCGTCACCTACGGTATGCATTCGTCCCCATCCGTTCTTTTCGCAAGTGGTGCTCACAGCAGTACAGCAGCAGGGGGGCCCTGAACAACGCCTGTACAGTATATGCACGGCGCATCGACCGGCGCTATTCAGAGGGACCGGCGCTATTCAATGTGCAGAGCGACTTGGCGATTCAGTGTGAGCCCAGCAACTTTACCGGCGTTATACATGGCCACCGGCGCTAGTCGACCAGCGTTGCTGAGACCCCTAGCTTGTAGGTGGTTTTATTTCACAAGGGCGGGTTGAGGAAAGGGGGTGCGTGCGCGGCGCAAGATCGGTGGGATCCCATGTCACCACGATGTGTCCCGCTCAACACTGTTACTAATAGTGGAAATAATATGTTGTTTAAAAAAGGGCCTAAGCTCAAGCACGAGAGAAATCCCTCCCAAAACAAACGGGTGTGCATGTAGAATGCTCGATCGACGAGAAGGAGCGAGAAAATGTGCACGACTGAGCTGGAAAAATAGACTGAAGTTACATGACGGTAGCTATGCTGGGAAGACAGGGAAAAAACCACCTTTGGCAAACACTTTAGGAAGCAACGATTGCCAATCGGTGATCGGTCCTGTGGGAACAACGACAACGCTCCGTCCTCTCGAGGACGCGTGGTCAATGGTCCAACAACTACCGCATGCAAAACACGAGTACGCCCCCCCGCCCCCCCCACCCACCCCTGTGTTCCCCATCGGGGTTGAGCTTTCGTCGCTTGGCAACGATGTTGTAAAACAAGCCGATCGCCTCGTGAGCTCGGCAACCAGGTTACCGCTACTTCTTGCCTTTTATATGATAACCGTATTGGTTGGCGAGTAGATTCTGTTGTGCGGGATCGAGAACTCTCCCTCCGCGCAAAGGGGATGATCGCACCACAATAAATTGGCAAAGCACCCTCAAGGCAGTTACACAGCCAGTGTCCAAAATTGTCTCTGGAAATGAAAGCACCAGAAAATAAAGGAAGTCATTCGCAGCTGTCATCCGCAAGGAAGTAGCCACAAGATGCCGAACACCCTTATCGTAGCAGGATGCAGCCAGCGCACCCTTCACGCGACTCGCCGAATACCTCGCGGCGCTTCGCACTTGGTGATGTAAGAGCCCGGATGCGAGGTAAATACTGCTGTAGTCTAACGAGTACGGAATGCATGACTAAGAGTACACCCCCCCCCCAAAAAAACAACACGTGGTTCATCTTTGCGGAACGAAGCCTGGGCCGGCGAAAACCTGGCATACATATCGCTCCGTCCCAGCATTGGAGGGATGCGAGGCCAATGGCATAAATACTACAGCATACGTCTACATGAGTACACACACACACACACCCGGAAAAAAAACACCCAAAGCCTCACGAACAAGCGAGACCTCCCCCCCCCCTCACCTTGTCTTTTTGCGATACCAATGGCGTCGCCGCTAGGGCGTACACATACGTTTGCACTGCGGCCATCCCTTCAGTCTCCGTCATGTTCCCATCCTGAACGCAAATATTGAACTGCACCCCCCCCCCCCCCCCAACCCCCCAAGCACCCCCCGGAACACCCCCCAAACCCCCCCCCTCCATGTGCGCCCGCGGGGGAAAAAAAAATGAACTGTTGAAAAATGGGAAAAAAATACAGCGCAAAAAAAAATACCCCCCAACTAACACCAAAAAAAACGCTGTCCTGGCTTAAACTTTTTAAACATTAAGCAAACACAATACAAAAAAAAATAATTGCACCCCCCCAAGGGGAAAATCTCCAAAGGTCACTTGATGGAAGTCTTTCCGGCGAGGGTTGGATGACGTTATCGAAGCCGTCCAAGTCCCTACCCCTTCATGCTTGTGCCGTTCTCGGGGTTATCTTCGCCTAAAACTTGGATGACTTTGAGATACTGCAGCTCGCGCAAATATGCCATTTCGCAATTTTTGGGCGACGCTTGGGATATATGGTGGATGGGCTACTGGGTATGTGGACGTCCCAAACAGGTTGCCAATTTGACGACAGCAACGACGGGGGCGGCGGGGCGCGAAGAGAAGGGAAAAAAAGAACAGAACAAAACAGAGAGCAAAACACAGAAATGAAACACACAAACACTCGTCCCACGTGAAAATTGGTGGAAACAACGTCTATTCTACGCAGGAAAAATAGCGAGAGGGAAAAAGCGCGCTCGGTGTCACGATGATGACGAACGACCCCACCCCGCTACTTTCAGTCCAATCAACCCAGGGCATATCTGGATTGACACGGCAAAGGCAAGGAAGGATGACAACCAACGCGCTCCTGCTGCATCGTTGTGACAGGCAGCGTGGGCAGGGCCGGCGAAAACCCAGTACATGCATCTCGCTCCGTCCCGGCAACGTGTAGGGGTGCGAGGTCTACGTATGGTCTCACGACTACAGTACGTCATGCGTCGACGTCACGAGTGCAGCTCGCGCACGCACCGAGCGAAGAACCTCTAGGTTTGGCCGAGGCGGGGATTCTTAGTTCCCAGGGATGTGCTGCGAATGGCCCGCTAAAGCAGTAGATACCAGGTTTTGGTGTGGGGGTTCTTATCCGAGCCTACACACGGTGCCCAAGGCCCCATGTAATGAATTCTTCGGGGCGCAATTTCTTCCTCATTGCGAGGTTCTGTTTGTGCGGGTGCTAGCTGTACACCCCCCACCCTCGGCCCTGTGGGGACAGTGTTCCGCCCTACTCTCGAGGACGGGTTGGTCAATGGTCCAACCACTAAGGCATGCGAAACATGAGCACGCAACCCCCCTACAGCTAAATATATCGGTGATCGGTCCTGTGGTAACAACGCTCCGACCTCCCGAGGACGCGTGGTCCCCTCTAAGGCATGCAAAACATGAGTACCCCCCCCCGCACACGAATAATTGGCTATCGGTGATCGGTCCCGTGGGCACAATATTAATGTTCCATCCTACTCTCGAGAACGAGTGGTCACACCTCTAGGGCGGGAAAAACATGTTCCTTACCATTTCTTCCCGTGTGGTCTTCGCCCGCCGCCGGCGAGCGGGCACCCCCTCCCCCTCCTCCTCCTGCTCCTGCTCTTCTATCCTCTCCATTACCGCCACCGCGGCTCTCGCCGCAGCCATCGACTTCGTCCCCGCCCTTCGGGTCTTGGTCGCCGTCGTAACCGCTACTCCCGCCCCCTCTCCGCCGCCACCGCCACCGCTAGCGTTACTTGAGACGGACTCCTCCGCCTTAGGCGCTACCTCTACAGGGTTAGGTGCGGCAGCGACCGGCGGTGGCAACGGGGTTTCCTGCGATGTTGTCGGAGGCGGCGGAAGCGGGGGGGGGGGGGGGGCATGGAAAGGGGGAGGAGGAGGGTGTGTGGGTCAAGACCATTTGTTCGATTGTTACGTGTTGCTGGAGGCGGGAGGCAGGAGGGGGCGGGCGTCAACAACATTGTTCGACGTCTGCTGAGTGCTCAGAACGCGTTTTGAGCTGTGTAGCGTGCCATTTACCGAGTCGTCCGCACAGGACTTGTGTGTGTTTTCGTCTTGAAGAGGAAAACGAAGCAGAGTAGACAGATATACGTCTCGTTTTCCAGCACAGCATGAAAAACAACGACAACTATAACAATCGACCTCTGTTGCATGCACCCCTGCATGCTGCACCGCTCTACATTGCCTGCTACGATAAATGCTCCCCCACGACGCAGATCATGGCCTCCACGGGCGAGACATTTGCACAGCTTCCCATATACCGAAAGAGGCGGAGAGAGGGCACCCCCCCTAGACCGACTGTCAAAGCTCGGTTGCGCCACAACCAAGACTGCCTGTACCGTACCGTTACCCGTTCCGTGATATTCCGTAACAGTCGGAGAGATGGCACCCCCCCTAGACCGACTGTCAAAGCTCGGTGGCGCCACAACCAAGACTGTACCAGTACCAAAATGGCGGCTTGTGAAACGTACCGAAATTGTACGTGATATGGCACCGGGGTGCGATCGTTTATTACATCATTCCTATCTTGGTTTTTTATCGCACCCCGGTGCCGGAACACCGATGGGTGCCACAACACCGATACCGGAGCGGAAATGCGACTAAATCATGCTGTTCTCGATATTTCTGCGCACCCCGGTGCCATAGCACCGATGGGTGCAATAACACCGATACTGCACCGGTGCGGAAATGCGATCAAATCATGCCGTTCTCGATATTTCTGCGCACCCCGGTGACATTACGCCGATGGGTGCTACCCGTAACACGCACAATCTCGGGGTATGACACAAGATAACACACCCCCTGGACCGATTTTCAAAGCTCCATAACGCCACGGCGAAGACGACGCATGGACAAAACAACACGTTTTCGGAGAGCTCTTGACCAGACGGTTTCAACGCCGCCGCTTTCGGCGCTGGGACTCTTTCTGCTGTTGATAAATCGAGCTTCGAAAATCGGTGCAGCGGGTGTGTTATCTTGTGTCGCATACGGTACGGTATTGTCGAGGGCCTTCTCTTGCGGCAGCGAGTCTTTTCTCGTGATTCCTTCTCAGGGGCCCGAAGGACGCTCGTCGGAACAAAAACGCTCGTGCTCGGAGCTCGGTAGGCCTCCGTGGCGTGTGTGGTTGACGGTCAAAGTTGCGAAAACTGGCTCTGTATCGCTGGGGCGCGTTGCGCAAGTTGACAAAACATTTTCCCGTCGTTTTCCCGTCGTAGACGGCGGAGTTGTGACAGACACGGGAGATAATTGTATTTCGGGTGCCGAAAACATGTCGTTGAAAGTGGAGATGTAACCGCGATACACACGGGCGCCACCTCAGCTGAACTATGCCGGCATTCCCACAACGCTGGGGTGGACATGTGAGCATGTCTTTCTCACAGCAGTAGTGTGTATAGTGGGGAACCAAAGTCAAACCGAAAATCATTTCCCGATATTCCGCATCCGATACTCTGCGAATTCCAAAATAAAATTTACTCCGATTCAACTGACAATAGTGCGGATCCAGTATATTACGGACCCACAACAACGAAAGCTCATCGTGATACTCACCGTGATAGATGATAGATGATGATGATGATATTCACGATATGTATATGTGTGGCTACAACAGTCAATCCGTGTGGTCAGACAATGCCTGGCGAACCACTTCTGAAACCCGTCAAAAACGACAGTTTGAATATTTGCCTCTTGGCTTGTTGCCATCTCCATATTCATCCCTTCGCTGGTTCCGTATCGATGTGACTCTTCGTGTCATCGCCATGTCCAACAGCTGCACAGTGAGGGGCCCTCCATAATACCGGTGCCCGGTAAGTGCCCATGTTCTCGGCTCGCAAACGCTTGACATACCAGGTCGTTCTGTACTCTGAGTAGTGCCGGTGCTCGGTATAGTGCCATAAAATCTCGGGACACACCGCGGCACTATAAAGGGCCCCCCACTGCTACACCTACCTACAAATACCTACTTTTTTCGCTCTCAGCACTTCGCAGCGGGCCAAGTAAAACGCTGCTGCCGTAGACAAGCTTAGCGCATGCATCCGCAGTGTTGAACATGTTTCGTTTGTGGTGTTGTTTTGGATTCAAATTCTCATTGGAAAATCTGCGATCATCGCAAGACATCAGTAGAATGTAAGAAATCCGTGCATGCGAGCAGTCAAATTCGCTGACAACTTGTTGTCCGCTTCGAGCTGGCTCCAATCAATGTACTTTTTCTATTTACGTGAGTATGTACTTATGTAGTATTCGTATTAGTAAATATCGTAATAAATAGATAGCATGCACACGTGCGCGATGTTTTGTATGGAATACTACTGTACAAGCGTTATCAAAGCGCCTCCAAAAATAAGACAGACAGCCCCTTAACTTCGGGCAATGCGCATGTGGTCTTGCGTCACCCGCGGGAGTTTGACACCCAAGTTCCGAAGGGAGACCTCGTACTACATGACACATGTCTGTACTGCTGTGTTGTATATCTTCCTGTCATCTATCTTGTCTCTCACTCTGACGGCTGTGCTGTCCGCTGCTGCTGCACTCCCATCATCACTCCCACCGCTGCTGCCTCCAACCACACCGGCGTCCTCCTCCTCCTTCTCCTTGTCGCCGCCGCCCCCGAACGGCCAGCGCGCGCGCAGCGAACCCCCTCCCCCCCCCCGAGCCAGGTTGCTGCTTGTTGGATGCTCGGGAGTAGTTCGGACTATTGGCTGATGAGGCAGCAGTTGAAGCCGCTGTGGAGGAAGCCATGATGGCGGCGACCCAACAAACATGCCACTCCTCCGGTGTTTCGGCGGATGGCACAGCTGAAAGGCGGCCGCGGTGATCATCATCGCGCCGGCGAACACCGCCAGGCGCGCTGCTGCTGCTGCGGTAGGCGCCCCCCTCATCATGTTGCAAGCGTTCGTGTGTTGGTCGCTGTCTCAGGCTGTTGCTGTGTGCAACAAGCCCTCTGTGGGACTTAAGAGAGGGGTGGGGTCGACGAGCCAGATTCTTGTGTGCGCCCCCCCCCACGCTGGCTTAGTTGGGCCGCTGTTGCTACGGATACATCATCCTCCACATCCAATAGAGCGCGAGAGGGGCGAGGCCAGGGCAGACGACGACATGGAGATACGCGTGAGTGCCCCCCCCCTCCTGCTTATTCTGACCGCCTTGATTTTGCCTCGTTGAAACACGTTCGGGTTGCAGGAGTTGATTATTCAACCTCGACGGTTGGTTGTGTAACGTGTTGTAGTCTAGTTGCTTCGCTACAGCAACAGTCTAATGATACAACAATGGATGATACACACGCGGTGCGTGTGTGTGTGTGCAGTAGCAACCGCAGCAGCAGCCGCAGCACCTAGCTTGCAGGCAAGACACCGCCAGCAGGCTCGTGTTTATATCGCATAGCACTTCTGCTGTCGGTGTCGTCGCTTTTCAGTTTCCACATCAAGAACCAGGCTGCTGGGTGCAACGTAGTCAAAGCGGGCTTCGATACAATCTACACTACTGCTGTACTGCGGTACATACACCGACCGAATGCACACAGCGCTGTGTATGCAGCAGCACGCAGGCAGCTTGCAGACAATACACCGCCAGCAGCTTGACGCCTATCAAAACGCTTGCGACCAACTATTACTATTTGTGTTGCACAGAACTTCTGCGTTCGGTGTCGTCGCTTTTCCTATGTTCCACGTTAGGAACAGGCTGAACGTGTGCAGCAGCACGCAGGCAGCTTGCAGGCAATACACCGGAAGCAGGTTGACGAATATCAACGCTTGCGACCAACTACCGTTTGTATTGCACAGCACTTGTGCGTTCGGTGTCGCCGCTTTTCGTATTTTCCACAGCAGGAACAGGCTAGTTGTAGTACGTACTTCAAAGTACATATTTCTCGCGTTGTGTTTGGCGCGGGTGCCCTGCTGCTGTGCCTGGCCGTTGCGAAGGCAGGTATTCTCTCCGAGCTTCGCGAAAGATAGCACTGTGAGCTCCCCGACTCCTAGTGTTGTACCTTCTGCTACTACGCCATGGGAAACGTTCACACTTTTAATACCAACCCTATCCATGGCTCCGAGAGCGAAGAGGAGCAAGCAAAATGTCTTGACTTCGACTATATGAATACTGCTCTATACATTTAGTTGCCGTACTGTTACCAAGCAACGGACACGGAGGTGAAATGCTGAACGAAGGTGGCATAAATACAGCGGTGGCTTGAACCCCCCCCCCTACGTCGCAGAGAATAAATATATTCGTACAATAGTCAATTAACAAAGTTTTTATGCAGAGAAGAGGTGCATCCGCACCCCCCCCCGCCCGATGCGACGTCAATGGTCTAACAGCTACGGCATGCGAAACATGAGTACCCACCACCACCAACCCACCCCGATTGGCCATCGGCGATAGGTCCTGTGGGAAGAAAATTCTCAGTTGGGGAAGCGTGGTCCATGGTCTAACCGCTAAGGCATGCAGAACATGAGTACGCGCCCCACCCCCCAGCCCGGTTGGCCGTCGGTCCTGTGAGAATATTTATCTCAGTCTGGGACGCGTCGTCAGTGGTCTAACCGCTTAAGGATGCAAAACATGAGCGCCCCCACCCCCACCCCCGATTGGCCATCGGCGATCGGTCCTGTGGGAAGAAAAAGCTCAGTCGGAGACGCGTGGTGCATGGTCTAACCGCTAAGGCATGCAAAACATGCGTACCCCCCCCCCCCCCCA